ATTCGCGTGCGTAGTGACCAGGCTTCCCACATTTAAAGCATTTTCCCGCTTGAGTCTTAAAACCAGAACGATAAATCTCTTCTAGCGATTTCAGAGTTCTCAATATTTCTGTCATCACATCTGGTGTGGCAACCTCTACTTTATTGACTTTGTAGGATGCTCTGCTTATGCGCGCCGCCGTGTCACGTGTCTGTGCATACGCAACAGTTTCAGCGAATGTCAACATTGGATTCGCATATGTTTCTCGCTTGGTGTACACGTCTTTTATTCCGCTGATGAACCTTTGTATCTTCACTCTTTCAAGATGCTCACCCTATGTGTCTCCAATAACTAAATGAGCTAATCTCTCAACTTCCGAAGCATATTCCTGCAGAGATTCCTTGGATTTTTGGTCACGCTTTTCTAACTCGATCTGGTAAATCTGTCTTCTGTGTTCGCTACCATAGCGTCTTTCCAGAGCTCGCATCAATCCGTCGTCTATGCTTCTCAAATTGGAGCTTAAAGACTTGAAATGGGATTTCCCGCAAAAGATGGTGTTTTTACCTTTGGAGCGTTCACTGAAGCGGTTGGACGATTTAGCTGCAATACCCGGAAGCGACTTTATAATACGTTGACTTTAGTCTCAAATAGATCCTGCCTTTCCTTAAGTTCCGCTTTGTTCCTCACCAGATTTTGCTGTATTTGCGCTATTGTTCCTTCCAAGGATGATGTCTGCTCCCTCTGTTCAAAAATTTGTGCATTCATTTTTTTTTAGAGATGCTGGCTTCCTGTGCATCCATCTTTTGTGAGATCGCAGTCAATAACATGTTCATGTCAATAACCTATGATGAGCCAGCAGCCTTTTCTTGAATCTTATTTGATGGTGATTCCAACTCCTTCACAGAATCTTCAGCCTCTTCCTTGTCAATGTCCTTCAAGGATACATCTTCATCCTCGCGATGGAACTCGTACTGGTTCAACTCGATGCCTTCAACTTCCATTGCTTTCCGCAGTCTCGATTGCAGCTCAGCCTTATTTCCAATTGTCGACAATCCTCGCTTTAGTAGTTCACAATTCAATTACAATGCACTTTACTATTATATTTACAATCACTAGCATAAACTTTCACAATTTACTTTACTTAAAAGTAATCTCCAACGCGTTTACTTTACGACTCTATACTGATGTTGTCGCCAACGAGTTCACTTTGTAACTAACTTCTTGGCAGCTGAGTGTCGCCCTTATATAGCAGTCGGCTGCTCGTAGACGAAAGTGTAGAATAATCTAGTTGCTCACTATCGAAGGTTCTCGTGTTATCGTTCTAGAATGTACTAGTTATCGGCTTCTCTCTTTCATTTTCGCAACAATACGTATTTGTAGGTGAAAAATTGTTTAATACAAAAAGTGAAAAATATTAGGTTAATTTCCCTCTGTATAGTTTGCTGATTCTACTTCGCTTGAGGAAGTTGCAGCTGCTACGGCGATAGCACTGACCGCTTGAGCTACGTCTGATATTTATGCCCATGTTTTAAAGATACAATTCCTAGGAGGCGAATTCATTTGACTACCTCACGCTAGCGTTAATTAAATTAGCTGGGAAATTATGAATTTGTGGTTGCTTATTAGCATATTACTTATTTTCCAGGCAAAATGAAAAAATGCCAATGTCATAACTACAAGAGGCCGGACTTAAGTATCTATTAAATATTATTGTGAGGATCATATTTTCCATCGAAAATAATAAATCGTATTAATTTAGTGGTCAAGAATTTTTTTTTAAATATATTAAAGAAATCATCATAATCTATATTCACACCTGGGCACCCTTGCCAAATTTATATGCTGCTCTCAGCTGTTGGCTGATTTCCTGAAACTTCTCTATACTCTGGTTGAAATTCCGCAAGGTCGTGCGTGAGAAAAAAATTATTTATTCCAGCAAAATCTACCATAAAATTAAGGTGTCAATATATCTATGTAATTCTGGCGCATGTGTTGTGTCGCTGTTTACATGTTTCAGCATAAGGTAACGTTCCATCAAGAAAAAAAGTAAGGTATTTTTAAATAAAATACCGTATTTGTAAATATTAGTTTCATACCTCTTAAAAGAAGAAGAAATGAAAGTTTAGTGGTTTGCAGTAAATCAACAAATTTCGGCTTACGAATTGACTCACTGTAATACCGCTGAATAGAGAAGGTACAATATTCCATAAGAGTGCACATATTCTAACGTACGTCGCTAATATTGACAATATTGGCCTCAAACAACAACCACCGTGTCGTGAGGTTTGCTTTCTCCAGACTTGACAAGGAAATTAAGCGAATGGGTCTATAGGTGGTGAATGAGGGCAATCGTAAAGTAAAGTCTTCTCCCTCGTTCTCATCCTGAAAACAGCTGAAGAGTGGGTGTGAGGAGTTTTGCGTAAGATGATCATAAATCTATGAGTTGGCAACGGCGAATACTACAGCCGTTGGAATGAGGAGCTGTACGTGATATACGGGGGCATTGTTAAGCGAATCAAGAAACAGCGGATACGCTGGCTAGGTCATGTGCTACGGATGGGTAAGAATACTCCAGCCTTAATAGTTTTCAATGCAGTACCCGCCGTTAGAAGTAGAGAAAGAGGAAGACCTCTACTCCGTTGGAAAGACCAGCTGGAGAAATACCTGGATGTACTTGCTATTTCCAATTGGCGCCAAACTGCGAAAAGAAGAAATGAATGGCGCAATGTTGTTAACTCGGCTATAATCGCGCAAGCGGTGTCTACGTCAATAAAGACAAAGAAGAAGAAGAAGAAGAAGAATGCTGCCAAACATTGCTAGCGCTTGTCAAGCTAATATATGGACCTGGTATATTTGTGTAATTAACATTTTGTTTTGCTATATCCTTTTCGCTAGGTTATATAAATGAATATTCCAAAAATTATAGACACTACACAGTACGAAGAGTACGGGGAGTTTTCCATAGAAAGGTTCACCGAACAACATAAAACACAGCTTTGGTTGGGTTCATATTTACACACATCTATGCATAAACGTATATATATATATATATACGAGTACATATATGTATATGTGTACAATAATTTATTTCGTTTGGTATCGTGAAAAATATTGCAAAATTTCAATAACTAAAAATCAATCGAATCAAATAGGAATAGGAAGGGAAAGGACATGCCAGTAACTGTTTTTGTACAAACAATATTTTTAAATGAAAATTATTAGATATCGTTATTGTATTGTGATGCACATTAGTGCACATCAAATTCTTGTCGCATTTACTACACTTTTGTTATTGCCTGTTGTAATCGTGTTGTAGTATAATTTTTAACCGCACGAAACCACAGTTTTCGAAAATATGGTGTCACTGCCGCTTTTCTTGAATCTTATCAGTTTTGTTGTACAAGTTGTTGTTCTGATTGTTGTTGTTGTTGTGGTTGGATCATCTGCTGATGAGGGTGTTTCTGCTCCAGCAGCTGCCCCATCTGCAGGTGAATTTGCAGTTGTAGACGGTGTTTGTGTTGTGGTTGTAGTTGTTGTACTGTTATTACTAGTTTGTGAGATAAAAAAATAATTACAAATTTATAACACTTGTTGTATTTATATATATGTATGTATATTTTAATAAAAAAATAAATTAAATTTTGTAATTGCGGTCGCCCCTCGGCAGGGAATGTTCAGCACTCCGAGTGTATTTCGGACATAAAATAAAGGCTCCTTGTAAAAAAAAAATCATCGGCCGTTCGGAGGCGGCTTAGTATAAACCACAAATTGGAGGAGGAGCTCGCCCGAAAAATCGCTTTAGTGGTTACAAAGCGTCAATTATATTATATATGTATACACGTCTATAAGGTGATTTTTTAGCTATTATTTTCTTGGCAACACTGGTTTAAACAGCTGACGCAAGTTTTGTGTTTTGTATCACTGACAAATATCTTCAGTTTGGTCCACAATTTAACAATGAATCGTCTTGCAAACGATTATTGTTAATTTTAGTTTTTTATTATTACTGAATTTTATTATCAAAATGCGTGCTCTGTTAAGAAAGTTCATCGCGCGCTTCGAAGCTCATTTTTGGCTTAATCGGTGCGTAAATAAGCAGAATTGTCGATTTTTGAGTGAAGATAAGCCAGAAACATTGCAAGAGCTACCAATGCATCCAGAAAAGGTCACAGTTTGGTGCGGTTTGTGGGCTGGTAGCATCACTGGACCGTACTTGTTCAAAAATGATCCCAATCGTAACGTAACTGTGAATGGTGAGCGCTACTGTGAAATGTTATCAAACCCTTTTTTGCCCAAAATTCATGAGCTTGACTTGTCATGCAAATGGTTTCAACAAGACAGTACCGGTCAATTGACCGCCTAGATCGTGCGATTTAACGCCTTTAGGCTATGTTATATTTCATATCAATACAGACAGGCATGCTTCAAATGACTCATTGGAGGACAATATTGAAGCATTTATTCGTGAGAAACTGGCCGAAATGTTGGAAAGAGTATGCCGAAATTGGACTAAGCGGATGGACCATTTGAGGCGCAGTCACGGTCAACATTTGTAGGAAATAATCTTCAAACATTAAATTATATGGACCGTACTATCGAATCATATAAAAATTTCGGGCATTTTTCTGATTTTTATATGTTTTTTGTAAAACTTTCCTATAGATCTTATATGTATATTTACCTGCACACAACTCTAGTCTTCGTGTGATTTACTTTAGAACCGACAACTTGGAACGTAAACTTCTCGGACCAGCAAGTGGTTGTTTCTATAGCTGGTGTAGTTGTAAACGGAGTTTGTGTTGTGGTTGTAGTTGTTGTACTATTATTACTATTTGCGAGATAAAATGATTGGGAAAGATCATTTGTTATGTACACAATTAAAAATTTAGAAAAACATAACTGTGAAAAAAGCTGTAATTGTAAATATGCATGTACGAGTATATTTACCTGCACACAACTCTAGTCTTCGTGTGATTTACTTTAGAACCGACAACTTGGTACGTAAACTTCTCGGACCAGCAAGTGGTTGTTTCTATAGCTGGTGTAGTTGTAAACGGAGTTTGTGTTGTGGTTGTAGTTGTTGTACTATTATTACTATTTGCGAGATAAAATGATTGGGAAAGATCATTTGTTATGTACACAATTAAAAATTTAGAAAAACATAACTGTGAAAAAAGCTGTAATTGTAAATATGCATGTACGAGTATATTTACCTGCACACAACTCTAGTCTTCGTGTGATTTACTTTAGAACCGACAACTTGGTACGTAAACTTCTCGGACCAGCAAGTGGTTGTTTCTATAGCTGGTGTAGTTGTAAACGGTGTTTGTGTTGTGGTTGTAGTTGTTGTACTGTTATTACTATTTGCGAGATAAAATGATTGGGAAAGATCATTTGTTATGTACACAATTAAAAATTTAGAAAAACATAACTGTGAAAAAAGCTGTAATTGTAAATATGCATGTACGAGTATATTTACCTGCACACAACTCTAGTTTTCGTGTGATTTACTTTAGAACCGACAACTTGGTACGTAAACTTCTCGGACCAGCAAGTGGTTGTTTCTATAGCTGGTGTAGTTGTAAACGGAGTTTGTGTTGTGGTTGTAGTTGTTGTACTATTATTACTATTTGCGAGATAAAATGATTGGGAAAGATCATTTGTTATGTACACAATTAAAAATTTAGAAAAACATAACTGTGAAAAAAGCTGTAATTGTAAATATGCATGTACGAGTATATTTACCTGCACACAACTCTAGTCTTCGTGTGATTTACTTTAGAACCGACAACTTGGTACGTAAACTTCTCGGACCAGCAAGTGGTTGTTTCTATAGCTGGTGTAGTTGTAAACGGAGTTTGTGTTGTGGTTGTAGTTGTTGTACTATTATTACTATTTGCGAGATAAAATGATTGGGAAAGATCATTTGTTATGTACACAATTAAAAATTTAGAAAAACATAACTGTGAAAAAAGCTGTAATTGTAAATATGCATGTACGAGTATATTTACCTGCACACAACTCTAGTCTTCGTGTGATTTACTTTAGAACCGACAACTTGGTACGTAAACTTCTCGGACCAGCAAGTGGTTGTTTCTATAGCTGGTGTAGTTGTAAACGGTGTTTGTGTTGTGGTTGTAGTTGTTGTACTGTTATTACTATTTGCGAGATAAAATGATTGGGAAAGATCATTTGTTATGTACACAATTAAAAATTTAGAAAAACATAACTGTGAAAAAAGCTGTAATTGTAAATATGCATGTACGAGTATATTTACCTGCACACAACTCTAGTCTTCGTGTGATTTACTTTAGAACCGACAACTTGGTACGTAAACTTCTCGGACCAGCAAGTGGTTGTTTCTATAGCTGGTGTAGTTGTAAACGGAGTTTGTGTTGTGGTTGTAGTTGTTGTACTATTATTACTATTTGCGAGATAAAATGATTGGGAAAGATCATTTGTTATGTACACAATTAAAAATTTAGAAAAACATAACTGTGAAAAAAGCTGTAATTGTAAATATGCATGTACGAGTATATTTACCTGCACACAACTCTAGTCTTCGTGTGATTTACTTTAGAACCGACAACTTGGTACGTAAACTTCTCGGACCAGCAAGTGGTTGTTTCTATAGCTGGTGTAGTTGTAAACGGAGTTTGTGTTGTGGTTGTAGTTGTTGTACTATTATTACTATTTGCGAGATAAAATGATTGGGAAAGATCATTTGTTATGTACACAATTAAAAATTTAGAAAAACATAACTGTGAAAAAAGCTGTAATTGTAAATATGCATGTACGAGTATATTTACCTGCACACAACTCTAGTTTTCGTGTGATTTACTTTAGAACCGACAACTTGGTACGTAAACTTCTCGGACCAGCAAGTGGTTGTTTCTATAGTTGGTGTAGTTGTAGAAGGTGTTTGTGTTGTGGTTGAAGTTGTGGTTGAAGGTGTGGATGTAGGCGCAGTAGTTGAAGTTGTGGTTGAAGGTGTGGATGTAGGCGCAGTAGTTGAAGTTGTGGTTGAAAGTGTTGTTGTTGTCTCTTCTGAAGCTTCAGTTGTAGTTGGGTTTGCTATAGGTTCAGTATCTATAATCACAGTTACCGTTGTTGACTCTGTTTGACATCGAAACGATTGTATCATCACTGCTGTAGTGACAAGAAATAAAATTGTCGAACTCTTCATTTTTCGATTATTTTTGCGGAAACCTTCTTTGTACGAAAACAAAATCTAGACTGATGATATCTTGAATTTACCGCTGTTTTATACAAAAGTCTGTTCTGCTAAATTTTTATTTCTGACACGTGTCGTCTCTCATTTTGACGTCAAGTTTGATAAACATATGCACATACATGTATACTAATGTACAACTTGCATGATATACTCCATATACCTACATTTGTATAAATAATTGAGCCTGGATCTTAATATTTGCCGAAGGAGAATCACCTGTGTAAAAAAACCTTTCTATCGACGTTCAATTCAATTTGTTTTATATAGACTTGTTGAATGTAGCGATGACGGGCTGCATTTTCGATAATGGGAATGTTTGATTTAAATATAATTGCAGACTTAAATATGTATGTTTTCAAACCTACATAAGTACATATATTCGGATGTAAAGAAAGTTCTTTTTCCAAGGACAAACCTTTGCCGTATATATATACTGATTATTAATACAGAAAATTTGTTCAAGTGCCGAGACTGAAAACCTACTAACAGCAAGCGGCAGACGAATTCTCATAAAGTAGTTGAGTTTCATTTAAAACTTAGGCTTAAATAGAATTTCAAATAGAATATGTTCATAGCCATTTGCTCTTGCATAACCGTTAGACAGTTGTTTCACCGATTGTTATATGACAAAAATATTTGGTTTTGGCATAGAGTAGATCTAACTCACAACAAGAAAAAATATCAAAAAAAAAAAAAAAATTTAAATAATACATAATAAAGCTTTGCAAATACAAAACATTTACATATACATATATATATTCGCAATGCTAAAATAAATACGAGTATATGTCAGTATGTATGAAAATATCTACTTACTTGAATGTGAATTTATGATTGCAAGCGAATTTGTGAATAAACTCCACAAGAAAGTAAATTTTAAGGAGCGAATAAAACAAATAAAAAAAAAAAAATAATTCAAACTTAAAATATTTGTACAGGTTTTTATCTTATCAATAACATTGCATGTGAGTGTGTGTGCACACATGGAAACAATAACTCCCTTAAACACTCCTATTTTCGTGTTAACTGTTTGTGCCAGTATTTTTTTTTTTTTTTTTTTTTTTTTTTTTTTTTATTTTATTTTATTTTATTTTATTTTCACTTGTTAGAGAATTAGATTTCTAGTAAAATCTCAAATTAATGTAATAAAATTCTAATTATGTACAATAAGTATACATATATACACTAGCCGACCCAACAGACGTTGCTCTGCCAAAAGCTTAGCAATGTAGATTTGCTGAGCCTTCATTTGATACTCACCACTTAACTCAAGTTTCGTTCAATGGCAACACTGTATCCTGTCTATTTGGGTTCTCAATAATTCCACAATTCTTTCTGAAAGGTAACCCCTCTCAGATATAATACACTTGTGCTAACGCTTTTTACAATTCTCGAGACACTTTAGAAACTCGCTTTTCGGTATGGCCCTCAGTTCTTTCTTCCATAGTGATTTCATCTCATCAATTGTGGCAAAACGTTTTCCTTTTATACAATATGTTTTGTTTTGGAAATAGAAAAAAATGCTGGAAGCTATAAGCTGTATAAATACGATGGCTGGGGCATGATTACGGTTTTGTTTTTGTCTAACAAATCACAAATGAGTACTGATGTGTGAGCTGGTGCAAGCCGAAACCATGATTTGTTTTTCCACAATTCCGAACATTTTACAGTGTTCCATTTCATCTATTCTTCTTCTCCTTGGAGGTACTTTCCGCTTACCCGATCATACCCGAACATACAAAAGTGTAATAGCCTCTCAGTTCTCTATGCGTTGTTTGGCGCCAATCAGAGACATTCAAAAAAAGCCAGTGGTTCGTTTGATCAAGCTAGCTGGGCAAAGAGCATGCCAAGATTTTGAAATACATATACTTACATATATAGTCAGGTCAATAAGAGATTAATTAGAGGTGCTATGAGTAAAATTTTCATTAGTCTAATTAAAACGAAAGAAGCGATAAGGTTAAGATTAAATTTTAGTGCATATATTAGATGAGTGCATAAGTTCGTGCCCGATTTCAAGTGCAAACTAAAATNATGCGTCTTTTCACTAAGCAACTCAATTAAAAATGAAGTTATTTTATGCTTGATTTACAGTTCGGACTGTCACCTTTCCAACGATATATAATATGTATTATATATATTTCTTTCACGAGCGCCACTCTTAAACGCTTCGAACGTCATCCAGCGGAATCGGGCACGAACTTATGCACTCATCAATACGTGCAAATGTATGTGTCTCTTGATGTGATTTGTTTTTAAAAGTATGAAATGTATTTCTAAGCCCCGAGGCAGTAACAGCCGTAAAAGCCGCATGATTAGCAGTGCGTACTGGCAATCGGAAGGACAGAGTTTGAGTCCTCGACAGGGAAATTGAAATCTTCCGATTGTTTAATCCACATGAAATAAAAACGATCATCATAGAAATCCATCAGCCCCTCGGAATAAAACGTAAAGACGGATTCCATTAATTAGAGCAGGAGCTCGGCTGGAAATCCCTTCAAAGTTTACATAGCGTCAATCTATATAATATTTCGAAGAGAGCGATGTTAGTTACTACTCTTATGACTAAAAACCGCCTGCACTGAATTCGATGGTGGGCGCCAATTCGAAATGGTCTTCGTTCAAGCAAGTATAATACAATACGTAAGCAATATGCGGACAGTGAACCAGGGACCGGCCTATTCGGAAAAATGGTATTTTTGTTTTTTTTTTATTTTTTACAAACTTTCCAGGAGTAGATTAGTTTAGTTGGATTGAATTTTTTATAAGGAGGTATCTTTGTCTATATAAAATATTAGCCACGCAGAATGGAAAACGCGCATTAGAAAAAAGAAAAGTAGAAAGAAGAATGTTTTATGTTAAATTTTTGCAGTTTACATATACTAAGTAATCATAAGAGCTTTACCGTGCTAAAATGAAATCACGCGGCCCTGAGGTATGACCATTAAAAGTTGAGCAACTTGGAGCTGGATTTTTTATATTTGAAAATTGCTGAATTTATGGCTGTACAAAAATGTCTGTAGAAAAGACATTTGTCAACTAAACGAGTTCGTATTTTTCAATTATTACAAGTTAATTAGTACCAGTAGCACCACGTTATGCCTGTTCGACGTTCTTTTTTTTTTTTTTTGATAAAAAATATAAGTCGTCTTTTACCTCTTCAGACTAAAATTTAAAAAAATTTGCAAAATTTCAACTTTTTATTTATAAATTGTTTAGCTAACACTTTTATATTTTCTCAACAAAATTTAAATTGAATGCCATTACGAGTTCGCTTGGAGGACCTTGATTGGGCCGCCCTATTGCAATAAGAGTCTTAAGGTATTTACATTCAAGCAACCAACCAACCAACTAAAGAAATCAAATGCCAATAAGCCAGAAGAGATTCTAATGTTAGTAATCTTACTGATACTTCGAATCGCTTTTTAACTATGACAGATCCAGTTTAATAAATTTTAAAGTTAATCCTATGTTAAAATATATAAAATAAGATAATAATAGTATTTTTTTTTAAGATTTCGAAATTTGTGTTTGAAAGTCTCTATAAGCATTGTTAAGCATATCAAATTTTATGTACTACATTTTTTTTTTTTGAGGGTTTGAGCCCAAAATGGCATTTCTGAAAAATCGGTTGTAAGAAGGACGATTTTTCGATGATTTTCAGTGTAAATACAATATTTGCTTGAGAATACGTGCATATGTACATACGTATGCAGAGTGCGAAATTTCACGATCTTACAAGCTTTTTAACCCGTTGAGTAACTTTGGGCAAGATGTGGCACAGTTTTTTTTTTGCATATTTAAATTTTTTAATAAGTAAAGGTGCATTATATTTATCAGGTGTACAACTTTGCTTCCGCCGTTTTCCGATAGGTGGCTGTACCGGTTTAGGCTGGTTGAAATATATAGATGATAATGCCTTTAAAGTGAGTGTGGACAGTGCCTAACGAATTGTCATCGCCGTTTCAGTGGCAGTTGTTCTTGTTTTCGTATTATTCACGCTCCAAAATATCTGTTTATGTGCCTAATTCTCGCCATTTGCGAGAAGTTTTACTTTTCTGTTACAATTCGAAAACAAAAATGCAGCTGAAGTGCATCGAATGTTTTCAGAAACTTACAGTGATGCTGCTCTGAGTGAACGAACGTGTCGGGAGTGGTTTCAACGTTTTAAAAATGGTGATTTCGATGTCGAAGAGAAAAAACCTGCAAAGATTTACTACGTGCTCTTAAAACCGGGTGAAACCATCACAGTAGATCGCTACCGAACGCAACTGATGCGCCTTAATCGCGCGCTAAAGGAAAAGCGGTCACAATAACAAGAGCGTCATGACAAAGTCATCCTCTAACACGACAATGCTCGGCCTCACGTCGCAAAAGTGGTCAAAAAGTACCTGGAAACGCTGAAATGGGAAGTCTTGCCCCACCCGTCGTATTCCCCAGAGGTCGCCCCTTCTGACTTCCACCTATTCCGTTCGATGGCACACGGCCTGGCAGAGCAACATTTTCAATCCTTCGAAGAATTGGAAAAATGGTTTGCTTCATGGATAGCGTCAAAAGAGTACTCCTTTTTTCGAGCCGGGATCCGAAAATTGCCGGAAAGATGGGAGAAAGTTGTCGCTAGCGAAGGACAATACTTTGAATAATATATCCGTAAGCATTTTTTCGCAATAAAGCTTTCAATTTTGGAAAAAAAACGGCGGAAGCAAAGTTGTACACCTGATAATTAGACTAGGTAGCCTACCTACAAATTTATAACTTTTTTGTCTCATGTAAACTAAAGAAAAGTTATAACAATTTTTTACAAAACTGAATATAAACTGTCAGTTAATTTGAGGTTGTATCAAACATGTTTATTATATATTTTTACGTAAGAGGTACTCTATATATTGAACCATTATTGTTCAACTAAAAGGTATTAAATTACTTAAAACATAATCATAACAAACTTTGGGTTACTCTGAATTTTTAAAAAACTAAGCCGTTCTCAGCAATATAAATTTTCAATGAAATCTATCCAAAACGTCTTCGAATATGAAGATGAA